GGGGTACGTGTGTGAAGGGGTGTATTTGTGTAAGACTGTGCATGTATCAGAGTGCATGCACATGTGTGAGGCTCTGTGTGTGCCCACACGTAGATGTGAAAGTTCCATGGAGGAGAGGCTTGTCGTGGTGATCGGAGCCAGTGTGCATTTGCAACAGAGTGAAGAGCCATGTCAGGCTGGGGGTGTGACAGGCGGCGCACGCTGGAGAGCTGGATGGTGTCTGACGTCACCACCAACAAAAGCTGTGACACTACTTTTACGCTTTGCCTAGGGTTGAGTCTATGGATTCCCTGCACTTGGGAGAACATTCGACTGGGGTTCCACAGGAGGCACCACGTGTCCACGCAGCTCTACCCCAAACCCTTCTCTGAGATGGAAGCTGCCGAGGCACCCACCTTGGAGGTGTGGCTGGTCACAATTTCAGCTGCCACCCAGGTGCTGACGTCATCTGCACTTCTCAAAAGCTGTAATAGGTACTTGTCCTGCACGTAATTGGGCAGAAATAAGCTGCAGGTTTTGGCTGACAGAGACTCGGAGGAGCTGGCTCTGGAAGAGACACAGGTGCACATCACAGCGAGGACGTGTGGAGGTGGCCCTGCCCAGCCCTGGGGCTGCAGGGGGCTCTCCAGATGCACGTGGGGCCGGCAGGATGGGCTCTGCGGAGAGGGGAGGGCCTGGCTCCGAGGCCGTTCCTGACACCAGCATCTCCCTTCGGCCACTAGTGTCCACGAGGCACTCAGGTGAAGCCCCCAAGACCCTGCCACCAGCCATCTGTCCCAGGACTCTGGGGTGACACCCACAGGTGAGCACTCACTTGGGGATGGCCACACTTTTGTCCATGACGCCCAGGGCCCGTGAGTTTAAGAAGTGGACGGGATGGCACTTTTGAAATAATTCCTGTCAGAGACAAGGACACAGATGTTCAGTGCTTTCCCAGGGGCCTTGGGGACAAGGCAGCATCTCTGGGGGATTCTCTACCTGCCCAGCCGCGATGACAGCAGGTAGGATGACTGGAGTCACCGTCACTGCTGTCGCCTGCCAAGTGACACGGGACCCAGGATGGTGGGGGGGAGGGTCGCAGGGTGGGACGCCTGGGAAAGGGGCGCCTGGGGGCGGGCTCAGGGCGGGAGCTGAGGCGCCAGGAGGGCGGCGGCCGGCAGGGCGCCCTCTAGCGCTTGCGGGGGGGAGCGTGCGGGACGGGGCTGCCGCGGGGCAGCGGGAGCGGTCGCTGTGCCGCCGGAGCCTTTCCCCTCGCGGTCCCAGCCGGCCCCTGCCTGTGCATGTGGCCCCTTCCACGGCCCTCGCCGTGTCCCTCCCGTGACGCCCCTGCAGGTGAGCTGTGTGCAGGCCCGTCACCTGCTGCAGAAGCGTTAGCTGGCTGAAGAGCTGGTGGGCGCTGTACTCGGTCAGGAAGCAGGCGCCCTTCTCGCTGGCCTTGGCAGAGGGGCCGCAGAAGTCCTCGAAGAAGCAGGGCTTGGGCAGCGCCGACGCGATGCTGTATTGGCGCTGCTTGCGGTGTGGCAGCGCCAGCCCGTTGCCCCGGGACAGCCTCCAGGGGAAGCTCTGTGGGGCAAGGCCAGGCTGTGCTAAGGGGCCGCCAGCACAGCTGGTCCTTCAGGCGGGCAGCCTGGCGGGGGCGGGGCGGGGGAGCGCCGGGGCCCTTCAGCCTGGCTCAGCTAGAGCCACGGAACAAAGCCCTCCCGCCCGTGGCCGCTGCCCCGCTCATTTCAGCAGGTGCCCCGCGGGCACAGCCACTGGAGTTTGGGGCCGTCCCCGTATACTACGGACAGGCCCCTTCAGACCCGGCCCCCATCCCAGGCCATTTCCTGGCGATGGCGCCTCCCACCCAGACGTCTGGCCGGAGGGTCAGGAATGCTAGGTCGTCTGAGGAGCTGGCCTGGGCTCCCCGGCTGTCCTGTCCTTGAGCAGGGTGAGGGGCAGGAGGTGCCAGCCTCACAGGGCTGGTGCCAGGACTGGCAACGTGGGGAGCACGTGTGTATGTGCAGGTGTGTGTGCGGTACGTGTGTTCACGTGTGTGCATGCGCTCTCTGTGTTCTCTGGGCTGGGCTCAGGGAGCCGCGCTGCCCGCCCCAGGAGGCCCTCCCCTGGGAAAGGCCCCCACCTTCCGGGAGATGCCATCCTCTGAGAGCCTCTTACAGAGGGCATTGAGAGGTCTGGCGTCCTCCTCGGCCTCCTTGGAGTCCTCCAGGTCTGTGCCACGTGAGGTGCCCTCGGCCCGCCGGTCAGTGCCCACCTCCAGGAGGCCCAGCAGGTGCTCCGCTGAGCCGTCCAGCGGCAGGATCTGGGCAGAAGCACAAGGCAGTCGCTGGCCACCCAGACGAGGGTGGTGGCTCTCACCCCGAGTGCTGCCCGCGGAGGGGCAGGGGCTGCTCAGGTGCTCTGCCTGTGGTCACCTTGGAAGAGATGAAGTCCTCAAGCCTGCCCAGGAGCCCGGTGTTCCGAGTGAAGTCCACAGCATAGCAGTCTTCCAGCCAGGCCTGCAGCAGGCAGAAGCTTCGCTTGTAGATCTTGGTGAAGGTCGAGGTGGGGTCCTGGTGGGCCCTGCAGGCAGAGGGGAGGAGATCTAAGCCGTGCAGGGTCCCCTGCTGGCCCTGCAAGCCCTGCTGCCCAACGCCGCACTGGGGCAGACGGCTGCCTGTGGGCACCCCGCCAAGCAAGGGGGCGTCAGTGGGGTCTGAGCGTGGCTCTGTCTTCGAGGGCTATTTCAGCCCTACCCTCCTGTCTCAGGGGACGGGAGAGACAGCCAGTAGCTGCCCAGCAGGGCCCCGGGCTCAGTGACCGGGACAGGAGCCTGCTGCCTCTCCTCCACCCTTGCCCGGCGCCCAGTCCCAGAGCACCTGTCACCCCCTGCAGCCAGGGCCCGGGACGCGGGGGGTCTGGGAGGCGGTGTGCAGGCGCTCCATAGGAGGTGGGGTGGGAGCCTGGCTCCACAGATGGAGGTCTCTCCTGGGAGTCCCTGCCCCCAGGGAGGGAGTGCACGGGGAGTCTGGCCGTGATGCCAGGCCGGCTCAGAGAACAGGCCAGAGCAAGTCCATCTAGCTTCTCCACTGACCCCAGCCCTTGGCTGCCCGTGTGTTGCAGAGGAAGGCTGAGGGCTGGCAGGACCCTCGTCGTCCCCCCCCCCCCGCTGCCCTCCTCTTGGCACTCACCTGTCTTCCTACCCGCCCCTACCCCCACCCTCCCCTTCCCCCATCCTCACCACCCCCATCAGCATCAGTGGCCTCTCTCTGGCCGCTCTCCCCCCCTGGCACAGCTGGCTCCCTTCTCAGGGGCCCCGTGTCCCGTCCTTGTTCTTCCTTCTCCCACCAGGCTCTGCCCTCATCCTTGTCAGGGTCACCAGGGACCCCCTCGCCCTTCATAGTCACTAACGAGGTGCCACGGGGTCCACCCTGTGGCTGGGTCACCCCTTGTGGGGTGCTGGGCCCGTGGCCGCACCTGGACAGGGTGCTGTTGATGCGGTCCAGGAGGAAGTGCAGGAAGTCCTGGGGCGTGCAGAAGTACCGGAAGGTGTAGAGGAATTGCTGTACGTACCCCTCCAGGAAGGCGTCACTGGGGCCGAGAGGAGGCAGTCAGAGCACAGGGATGGCTGCCGCGCGTCCTCCAGCCCTGCTGGCCCGGAGCCAGGCCCCCACGCCCGAGCAGCCAGTCCTGGGGGCCCTGGCAGGCCTCTCCTCCCACCAGACCTTACCTGTGCTGCAGGTAAGTGGGGGAGGCCCGGCTCCCCGCAGCCTTCCTTAGCAGTTCTGGGGTAAATGTGTGAAAGAGAGAGCGTGTGAATGTGCATGAGCGTGAAGGCGTGAGTTCTGTGTGTGAGCGTGTACACGCATGCCCTTGCAGGAGGATGGCGGACAAGAGAACCACTTGGAGAAGTAAAAGGTGCATGTGGAGGGTTGGTAACATCAGGGACTCCCAAACGTATCCGGTGGGAGGATCTTCTTTGCCGCTGATATTTAAGGTCCCCTCACTATCTGCTTCTAGAACCTACTCAGAAAACTATGTGCAGGCAGCGACTCTAGCCCCAAACTGGAACTCACTGCATTAGAAATGAGCGTGGCAATTTGTGCCCCAAAGTTCTCAGTTTCTTCACGGCAAAACCAGGTAGTTGAGGGAACGAGGGTCCTTCTGTTTCACCGAGCGTCCCCCACCCTCAGGGATGCCCCAGGGAGCCCCAGGTCAGGCGACACCATGCAGGTCAGTGACTGAGTCCTGGAAACAAGAAAGGTGCGTGGGTCCTGGCAAGGCTGCCTCCCCAGCCACTGGGAGGTGCTTCAGAGTGGAGACATGATGTCTGAAGAATGAGGGTGGCCAGCCACCCAGTCACCCTGGGGCTTCTGTAGGCTGGGGACGCTGTGGCCGGGGTCAGGCCCAGCCTGTGAAGATAAACCACGTGAGTGAAGGCTCTCCCCTTGTTGGAGGTGCTGTGCACAAACACACAGCGCACAATGCAAGAGCCCTCAACACACACACACACACCCATGCACATATGCACACCCCCCCATGCACACATGCACACACCCCACATGCACACACACTCCCACGCACATATGCACACACCCCACTCAC